CCGATCTATAAAATTTGAAAATCTTGAAAATTGACAGTCCGAAAAATGCGTTGCAAAATACACTATTCCAAACCTTGAAATCCATTTTTTTCTCATGTCCATACATCTTGATGTCGAGATGATCAATTTGAGGAATTTGGGCATCTAAACAACCTCTTCTAGTGAAATTTTTGAAGTAGGCTCTAATTTGATTGTTTAAAGCCTCGGCTCTATATAAACTTTTCCTCTATATATATATATGTGAAAAATTATTACATATTGGCTGGACCGCATTTCCACAATATGAGGTCCCTAGGTATAAAGCATTTGTCCTAAAGATGGATGGAAATTGGTGGTCCATCTAAAAACAACAATTACTGACTGGTCAAATTTTTTTCCTATTATAATTATTATTTATAGTTTTCAAATTTTTATTTATTTTTTCATATTTGCTAAAATTATATATTCTCTAAAAATTACGATTAAATTATATTTAAAAAATATATTTACTACTGCCAAGCCCGCATTTCTACAATATGCGAGCTGATAGCATATATATATATATATATTAATTTTTTTAAAAAAGAAAACTAATTAGAGACCAAATGCAGCGCTTGTTAAAGAATTCTCAGAGTTGCACTATATTAAGAGCCTTCTAAAGAGTGCAGAGACTTAGATCTAAACTGTCTTTTGGTTGAAATTGATAGGAGGTCGAATGAGAATCACATAGAAACCAGTCTTACCAAAACAGATTAAAAAGAATTATAATTTAACCCTAAACACACATAAACTCTATTTAAGTGCTAAAAAGTCACTCTCGCTTTCAATTCACCAGAAAGAAGTATCGTAAATAACTCACAACCACAAATTATCTTATAACAGACAATCGCTATTGAAAAAAACTGAAAAAGATCGAACACAAAGACAATGAAGGAAGTCAATTCTTTTAAAATGAAAGTTTTTTATTTAATCCTTACCCATTGTTCACACATATGGGTGAGTAAGACCCACAAGATCCGCATGTTCATGGAACTCATTCAAATTCGATAAATTTCTTGTATTTTTGAGAGAAACACTTCAAAAAATTCATGGGTTTTATTATTGTGGTCTTTCTTCCTGAAGTGTGAACCTACAAATTGTAGACAGCTCTAGAATTTGAGGTCAGTCCTTAATGTGAGTCAAAGTTTACTTACCCATTAAACATAAGCCAAAAGATATCATGTTCCTGCAGGAATATACTATCCACCTACTCCCTGGCGCGATTCCTATAGTTGGAATACTTTTTAGATCCCAAATTGTGGGGATGCAATCACTACAACCTGGCAATAAAAAAAAAAACAATTAACTCTCACTCTCAATGCTGAGAAAAAATGGCATCCCAAGATTGCACTGGAACCATCCAATTTTTGGAAGGAATAATTTAGATGTTCAAGAATTCAAAATCCAATTTTTTTTTTTTGAAAAAATAATCAACTAGTTATAATTGTATGGATCCCAAAATTTCAATAAAAAAACCACTTCCAAGTAAGTGTTTTGCCCGAGGCTCTCGATAGAGCATAGTGTATGCCTTGAAAGAAAAAAGATCGACAAAAATTAAAGAAATGATCGCTATTTTTCACTTAAGATGTGTTGTAATTTGAAAAACTAACTTGCCTTGTAACCTATATTATAGATTTGTGCAGACACCTGATTTCGATCGAGGAAGCTCTGGAAATCCATAATATCCTGCGCAAACTACCTCGAAGTTTGAATCACTCAAAACACATCCTGACCCCATCCGTAAACTGGCTCTCATAAGCCTCAAATCGCTCGGCAGAGCTCAAAGCACCAGAGAATTCATCTGAAAAGCAAAGCAGGGCAAATCAGAACCCCATGATTACCAATTTGAAGGCAATCCGAAAGGAAAAGGTTTTGGCACCACGGCAAGTGGGATCGGCTACACTTGCAGTGGCGCCTACGCCATTCCCCGTGGAGGCACAAGACTGACCGACACTCCATTCATGCATGACGATACCAGGAAGGAGAAAAAGGCCTGTCACCATTGCTAGTGGCGCCGATGCCACTGATACCAACGCCTGGCCTCTGACAGTCAAAATTGAAGACAACGTAGATGTACGGACCTGTGTTATGCGTAAGTACGGACTGACATATGTTAGCAGGTACTGACATGTCAGATGTCAATACGGAAGGACGTACCACCCTCGGATTCATCGAATGATAGGTCACATCAACCATCGATCGTACGATGACACCCAAACGGTCGACTGACACCAACGAGGGTCCGAATTGCAACAAATGCTGTTGGAACAACGGTGGATTCAGATTGGTCAATCAGAAGAACGGTAGGAAGCACGGAAGACGAGGCAAGGGAATATTTCCTTTGATTATTTAGTTCTCGGTGGGTAGGATCAGTCCAAGACTGAATCAAGCTATGATTTACCCTGGTAAAAGAAGGCGTAGAGTCTGCATCGGAGCTATCTTATGGTTCATCTGGACAGGAGGGAAATTCTCGTACATTCAATTCCAGATACCACGCAGTTTCTTGATTAAAGGACATGTTCGAAAATCAGGTTGTATCCGAGGCTTGGATACATATGAAGTTTTGATGAATCTTAATAGAGGATTTTGAAAACCGACGGCATAAACTAGCAACATCTGTTCTGTATGAGAAACGAAATCCAGCGATATGGTTCCCGATACACACAAAAATACAAAATATCATAAAAGCAGTGAATCAACCATGATTTCATACACCAGCATCTCATCTTTGATAGGGAAATAGCAACTTATTAGAGGAACACGAGTCCATCAAAGTACAATAACCGACAGCCCAAAAGTTCTCAAACAGAGATTTAGTAGTTGAAACTTTACTAGACATCAGCTTCTGCCTTTATAAACCATGTCCTATTCACATATACGGATCTCACTCAGCTGAAAACATCTCAAATCCTCCATTACATGTGGGGTTTAATGTTGAGGCGGGTTGCAATCTTCTGACCCAGTGACTTGTCACACTGCATTCAATCAATCCGATCACATTAGAATCAACAGAGAAAGAGATATTCACCGACAGAGAGAGAGAGAGAGATCACATTAGAATCAACAGAGAAAGAGATATTCACAGAGAGAGAGAGAGAGAGAGGTTGATCTAGGATCACGGACCAGCTTAACAAGTCATAGCCTGGAATTCTGGGGATATTAATCAGATAAGATGATTTCATAGAATTCGTGCCAATTATTTGCCTTTTGAAACTAAGTCCAGACAAATTAAAGCCCATTTCCACCAAATGGGTATTAATTCCCAAGCTGGGTAGATTAAAAAATTGCTTTAAATTCATTACTAACCCCAACCAAAATTCAAAACTCTGGATCCTAACCTATCTTTGAAGTCAAATAAAACATGTTGTAAACCCATTACTAACTTCAAGCCAAACCCAAAAAAGGAAAGAATCTTGGCCTGAATTTGGCTGGAATTGAGACCAACACAGGCATTTGACAGTTTACAGGATGATGTATACTATGAAATAAGAAAAATATATGGATACTAACCTGAGACCAGTAAGAAATCCAGATGCTGCGGATCTCATGGGTGACTCTAGTGTCTGATAAAGCATCAACAATTCGTTTGACGAAGCGCTCTTGCCTGCATAGAAATGAGACATCACCATTAGATGCATTTTTAAGAACAGAAGTGAAAGAAATCATCCTGGATTCTTGGGCTTATCGGGAGAAGAATGACTCTTGTTTTTTTGACCTTTTCATTTTCAACTACTATCAGAAGCGTAAATTTCGCCAAAAAATATATTAAACAGTATTGGAGGAATAGTACTCAAGACAAGAAGAGTTGAGTAATTCACCTGTCTGGTGCAAATGATCTGTATCTGTCGCCTGGCTGTTTGAAGTTGTTCTCCTTTTCGATCACACACTTTAATGAAACCACAAGAACGACAATTATGTTCTTTAGAATGCAGCCATACCAAGGAAAAAAAGAAATCTCCATGTTCCTTTTGTAAGCAAAAGAGGAATTGAAGTCCATGTAGTGAAGAATAATGTAATCCTCGCAGAAGATTGAAAAGAAGTATAAAACACCATGGTGTTTAAAGTTTCAGGCATGTTCTGATTCCATGTAGTATCCATTTGGATGCCAATTGTGAAAAACCAAAATAAGCAAAAGAAAAAAACAGCAACTGAAGAACTTCAAGAGATAATTATTGAGTAAAATTACAGTGATTCACAAACTACTCATATACCAAAACTCAAGTAAGAGAAATAAACTCACCCTCTCACGTTTCCCGCTGACAAGTTGAGGGGGGAGAGGGCACCGCTCAGCATGACGCACAGGATCAAACCTTGAGGGGAAATAATCCACCTGCAACTCATTAAAAACCAAATCAGATACAAATACAGTTGGAGGATCCTAAAATTACATATACAAAGTCATAAGCAAAGAAGAATAGTTCTGTCCTACTTTTTAAATAGGAAGAGAAGGATTTAACAAAAAGAAATTTAAATTATGATAGAATGGTCCATCTTTCTCAAAAAAAGATAATGATAAAATGTGTCCAGCCCATGGAGGATCTTATCCTAGCACCTCAATGTCCTACACTTCACTGAACCATCTAAAACAAAGACCTAATCGTTTATGGTACTTGACAGAATGTTCTCTCTGTTGTTTTTCTTTATAAATGTCTCTTGATTCATTTTACAGCAAATTGTATTCCAACTTCTAAGACTTCAGATACATTTGCCATTTATCAATGAACCTATTAATATAAAAAAAAAAAATTTAAAAAAACAAGGCATTATTTAATATCATTATGTATCAAAATTCGTCGAGCTGACTTGGGACTCACCCAAGTTTGTTTGGCTCAAGACCCTGGTGAGTCCCAAGTGAAAATAGGGACTGCCCAGGTCTTACCTTTTTTTGACATGTTTATTGTTAGTTTTTTAACAGATTCAGCTAAACCGTGTACCAACTGGGCCAGGTCGGACGAGGGAACTTGGGCTTGGAATCTTGGGGAGTCCAAGGCAAGAGTCCTTGTTTTTAAACACTGGTTAATACAAATGAGAAAACAATACCTCTTCATCCCTGTGGGCGAAATTCATAAACCCATCATAGTGATTGTTGTGATGGGCGCATTTGGGAGCATTAACAGGGAGCATCAAGTAGTTCGGTCCGAGACGATGCCTCTGAGTGTCACCGTAAGCGAAGGTCCTCGCCTGGAGAAACTTGTCATCAGAGTAATAGATCCCAGGAACCACAATTCCAGGGTTGAAGGCGAGTTGCTCATTCTCATTGAAGAAATTGTCAATGTTGCGGTTCAAAACCATGCGGCCCACCGGCTGAAGGGGAAACATATCCTCAGGCCATTCCTTGGTAACATCCACAGGATCGAAATCAAACCTATCTTGATCCTCAGGATTCATGGTTTGGATGAAAAGTTTCCATTCCGGGTAGTTTCCGGCCGCGATCGAGTCATACAGATCCTTAGTAGCATGGCTGTGGTTGGTTCCTCCCACAATAACTGCCTCATCATCATATAGGGACTTCACCCCACATGTGGGCTTCCAGTGAAACTTCGCTAAAGTCGCCTTTCCTGCCTTGTTAAGAAGCGTGTATGCACTGACACCAAACCCTTCCATGTGACGATAATCCGTGGGGATACCGACATCGTCATAGAACCATGCGAATGTGGAGAGACTCTCGGGGTGGTGAGACAGGAAGTCGAGGATCCTCCAGTTCTCTTGGATGTGTGATTTGGGGTTTGGTTTGAAGGCATGGATCACGTCAGGAAACTTCATAGGATCACGTACAAAGAAGACAGGGAAGTTGTTCCCAACCAAGTCCCAGTTGCCCTGAGAAAGACAATGGGGGTTCATAATCAGTAAGAAATGACTGCAGGGCTTCATTGTTTAACCATGGGGTTTTACATATAGGTAAGTATTTGGCAATTCAACAGATAAGTTGAAGAAACAGCATAAATTATAAAGCATGTACTAAATTTCTTTTGATGTTCATTGCCTCCAATTGTCTTTCAAAGTTGGCCTGAGAAAGACAATGGGGGGTTCATAATCAGTAAGAAATGACTGCAGGGCTTCATGGTTTAGCCATGGGGTTTCACATTAAGTCTTTGGCAATTCAAGAGATAAGTTGAAGAAAACAGCATAAATATATACAGCATGTGCTAAATTTCTTGTGATATCTCATTGCCTGCCATTGTCTTGCAAACATTGCCTTCCGGTTCAATCGAAACCGTTAGAGGACATAGTTAAATGTCCTATCTTATGAGACATAAATTCCTAGTAAAACTAAATTTAGTGTGTTTTGAGAATCTTGATTGAGAACGATACTAGGATTTGAGCTATATATCATCTAGAAGGCACCTCTCCTTTCAGATTCTGATAAATAATGCTTTTCATACATGCATTTGATAAAGATAATTTTCAAAAAAATTTTATATTTCTTCCAAAAGAAACTCTGCGGTTGCTAGTCTGAAGACCAGAAAAAGGAGGAGGGTTGTATATGATTGTCAGCTAGTGTAAAACTTGTGCGCCATCTTTTCATAAATCTTGAAAAAATAGTTGGAATAAAGCTCGAATTATGATGATGATATATTTTTTTTTAAAAAGATACAATATTTTTTAAATTTTTGAACTTTTAAATCACAAATATTTATTGTTTAATTTTTTTTCCATTTTGAAATTAGGAATACTAAAGAGATGCTATGTACATTCTCTCTCTCAAAGTAGGATCCTCAGAGTCGAGTTCCACACATGCATACCAAGACGACTCTTTTTAAAAATTTTAAATTTTATTAAAAATAGTGGAATATGGCACTTTTTTAATTATTTTTTAGCTATGAATTTTTATTTGAAAATATTTTCCAACTCAAAATAAAGGATACGAAAATAATTTATCCTTACAAAATACATTTGCAATAAAAAAGGTTCGATAAATTCTCAAATTTATCTCAATTTCCCATATTTTCTATCTTTCAATAAACTTAAGAAACAACATAACTAAGAATAGGCTCAAGGCTAGGTGGTCAGGGTGGTGGGGTCGCAATAACATGAACTCTTGAATTCCATTCTTACCACGAGTAAAGGACCCATCTCAACTGAACAACCATTATAAAAAAAAAAAAAAATCTTTCTTCTAAGTTTTAAATGATGAATTTATTACTTTCAAACATTACGTGAATCAATGTAAAATATGATCTTTGAATATTAATTTTCAAGTTGAGTGGTTGTGAACAAAACCCATTTTTAATTAAAAAATAAAACATATGCACTTAATATTTATCAAAAAAAAGAAAAAACACGTGCATATGCAAATATAAGAAATATGATATACTTTCACCCTACAGTGATCGTCACCAGAAACTAAACTATACAGCACAAAATCAAGCCATATTTGAAGTAATCAAGCAGATTGGACGTTTAAAAAGCGTTTATGTTCCCTAATGTCAGAGTAGAACAACATGCAAACAATTGACAGTAATCTACATTTCCCCAGGGTCTAAAAATAGAGTTCGTTGACCTGGATCGGCCACCTAAAAAGCCGTTACATAATTCAATTATTTTTTAAAAAATCATACTAATTTTTTAAAAATCTAATTTTTTTTGTTTATAAAGAAAATAGCGACAATTACAATATGATTGTTCATTATTGTACCAAAAGTAAGCAAATACTAAAAATCTGTATTGTGTTGAGTATTTGTTATCTATTAAAATCATTTGTACAGTCAAAATGAAATTTAAAATACAACTTATAATAATAAAATAAGAAAAAAATTTATATAAGGGCACAACTTTAAAATGTAGAATTACATATGCACCTAAAAAATCATCAGAGAAGGTTGTTTTAATGTTGAACAAATATCTAATTGATCATTTCGACATCGAGATGTATGAATATGAAAGAAAAAAATATTTTGGATCCCAAAAATAGTGTATCTTTTAATACATTATCGAGACCGTCCATTTTCAAGATTTTCATATATTTATAGATCCGCTTGATTTAACTATTTTTTAAATTTAAAATTTTATAATTAAATATGAAAATAGAGTTTGAGATAATCTTAAGAATTTTTTCACCAAAATTATATGTTATTATAAAATTTGGAGGTGCACCTTAATTGAATTGTTTAAGGTTTCAACCTTATAGAAACCACACCATAAAACAAATCTCTCCAATTCAATTCGTTTCTATATTTAACTTAAAGAATTTTTATTTTTAAAAAAACTATGGAACAAATTTAGTGAAATAGGATATTAATAGAGTGAGATAGAAAAAGAGAAAAAAATTTATTAGAGTTGATTATTGATAAAGAGATGGATGCCACGAGAGACATAGAGAGAGATAGGTGGCAAGGAAAGAGAGAGAAATGTCAAAGAGGGGAGAGAACCTTTGGGTTTGGTTTTGTACCCGACGGAAGCTCTAAACAATCAAAGTAAAACGGACTTTCAAATAGTATTGAAAAGATGCTATTTCAATACTAAAAATCTTTGTGATGGCTTGAAAATTTATTTTTATTTTTAGTTATAAAATTTAAAACTTAAAAAATAATTTAGATCGAACAGATCTACAAACACTCGAAAATCTTAAAAAATAAAGGTGTAAAAATACATTGCAAGATGGACTAATTCTCATACTTGAAACCTACTTTTTGTCATGTCCTATTTTAGTAATTTTTTGAGGTGCGCCATAAATTGATGTTTAGAATCTCGCTTTTATGTAATTGTAAACTTTTCCATGCAATTAACATTGACAAATAGGGTGGACGATAAGTAATGGCCGAAGAGGTAGACGCAGAAGCCGTAAACACAGACGCCAAATTATTGAAAAGAGACAAATTATCTGAAGTCCACGTGTCCTGGCACCCCGAAGAAGTGACAGCTGGAAGTGAAATCGGCACCCCAGTACAAGGTGGCAGCTGCACAGAGATTTGTTTTGTCCGAGAAAAGCCAACAAAAAGACGTGCCGTTCAATTTTTTTTTCCCACCGCACGGCCTGTGAAACAACACAATGCAGTGACATTTTTTTTATTGGACATCTTTCGCCCTCTCTCCCACTGCATCTACCCTTTTCGCCTGGGAGATTATAATGTATGTAATATGTTAAGATAGCTATTATATATATATATATATAGGTTACAAGTAATTGTGATTTTTTTGTTTCAAAGGTAAATCTGATTTTGTTATTTCTAAGGTAAATCCTCTCTTTTATATATATACATATATATAAATAAATAAATGAAACTCTTCTT